TATATATATATATATACACGTAGGATTACAATAATAAATAAAATAATAATGACATGCTTTATATATCTATCTATATATAAAATACAAAAAAAGCAAATATTTATACATATATATATATATATATATTTAGATAAATATATATAATTACATTACTGATTACATAAGTATACATGTGTAATTTAAATACATAGATATGTATATATATATTAAAATTCTACGTGTATATTTAAGTAATTTTTTAGCATAATTATTTAATTTCATTAATTAAAATTTGATTGACATGCCTGACAACCCAGACAGAAAGTGCAGAAAATTTAATTTGCAAGCACTATATTTAACTCTGTAACTTTCCAAGACACCATAAAAACTGTACATGGGGAGCAATGTTTTACTTGGAAGACCTCGCTGAACACAAATATTAATGTTTCAAAACAGTAAAATGTATTACAATGATGATACCGTCAGTAAAAGTGATTTTTTTTTTTGCATTTTTCACACACAAATAGCGCTTACACTGACGATATAATTGTTGTAATACGTTTTACTGTTTTGAAACACTAATATTTGTGTTCAGCGAAGTCTCCCAAGTATAACAGTACCCTTCATGTACAGGTTTTATGGTGTTTTCAAAAGTTACACAGTCAAATATAAGGCTTGCTTTTCAGTTTTTTCACATTCGCCATATTAGTTACGTTGCATTTGAGACGTATGGTAGCCCAGGAATGAAATTCGCCAGATTGGTTACGTTGCCTTTGAGATCATATGGTAGCCCAGGAATGAAAATTACTCCCATGATGGCATACCATTTGCAATAGTAGACAACCCAAGGTATTGCAAATGGGGTATGTCCAGTTTTTTTAGTCACAAACACTGGCCAAAATTGGCGTTCAAATTCGTTTTTTTGCATTTTTCACACACAAACAAATATTAACACTAACTTTGGTCAGTGTTTGTGACCAAGTGGCTACTAAAAAAGACTGGACATACCCAGTCACAATTCCCCTGATCTGCATAAAAGTAGAAGTAGTGGCAGAAGGACTGATGGTGGTAGGTGGTTGTGCAGAATCAGATAGAAACATAGAAACATAGAATGTGACGGCAGATAAGAACCATTCGGCCCATCTAGTCTGCCCAATTTTTTAAAATACTTTCCTGGCCTTATCTTATAGTTAGGATAGCCTTATGCATTTCCCATGCATGCTTAAACTCGTTTACTGTGTAAACATCTACCACTTCAGCTGAAAGTATTTCCATGCATCCACTAATATCTCAGTAAAGTAATACTTCCGGATATTATTTTTAAACCTTCGCCCCTCTAATTTAAGAGTAGGTCCTCTTGTTGTGGTAGTTTTTCTTCATATAAATATAGTCTCCTCCTTTACTCTGTTGATTCCCTTTATGTATTTAAATGTTTCTATCATATCCCCCCATCTCGTCTTTCCTCCAGGCTATACATGTTAAGTTCCTTTAACCTTTCCGTGTAAGTTTTATCCTGCAATCCATGAACCAGTTTAGTAGCCCTTCTCTGAACTCTCTCTAAAGTATCAATATCCTTCTGGAGATACTGTCTCCAGTACTGCATTCAATACTCCAAGTGAGGTCTCACCAGTGTTCTGTACAATGGCATGAGCACCTCCCTCTTTCTACTTCTAATACCTCTCCCTAAACAAACAAGCATTTCTGCTGCTCTATTACATTGTCTGCCTACCTTTAAGTCATCATAAATAATCACCCCTAAATCCCTTTCCTCAGATGTTGAAGTTAGGACTATAAAATATTCTGTACTCTGCCCTTAGGTTTTTACGTCCAAGATGCATTACCTTGCACTTATCCATATTAAGTGTCAGTTGCCACAACCATTTTTCTAGTTTACCTAAATCATTTGCCATTTGGCTTATCCCTCCTGGAACATCAAACCTGTTACATATCTTAGTATCATCAACAAAAAGACATACCTTACCATCAATACCTTTTGCAATATCACTAATAAAAACATTAAAGAGACTCGGTCCAAGTACAGATCCTTGAGATACCCCACTGGTGACAAGCCCATGCTTCGAATATACTCCCTGAAAACAACCCTCTGTTGCCTGTCACTCAGCCACTGCCTTACCCATTCAACAATATTGGAATCCAAACTTAAAGATTGCAGTTTATTGATAAGCCTTCTATGTGCAACAGTGTCAAAAGCCTCACTGAAATCTAGGTAAGCAATGTCTACTGCACCACCCTGATCTATTCTTTTAGTTACCCAATCAAAAAAATCAATAGGATTAGTTTCGCATGATCTCCATGAGGTAAACCCATGTTGTCTCTGATCTTGAAATACATGTGTATTTAGATGTTCAACAATCCAATCCTTTAACATGGTTTCCATTACTTTCCCCACTACTGAAGTAAGGCTTACTGGCCTATAGTTGCCCGACTCCTGTCTTTTACCTTTCTTGTGAATAGGCACAACATTCGCTAACTTCCAATCTTCTGGGACTACTCCTGTTAACAATGATTGGTTAAATAAATCTGTAAATGGTTTTGCTAGTACACCACTAAGCTCTTTTGATAAATTTGGGTGTATTCCATCAGGTCCCATTGACTTACTTGTCTTTACTTTTGACATTTGAAATAGACCCTCTTGCTCTGTAAACTCACATGTAACAGTGGACACCTGGATGTTCAGGTCCGGTGGGTTCGGCCGAACTTTGAAAAAAAGTCTGGGTTCGGGATCGAACTTGACCCCGAAAACAAACCCAATTGAAGTCAATGGGGACCCAAACCTTTGGGCACTAAAATGCCTCTAAAAAAGTCCTGGAAAGGGCTAGAGGGCTGCAAAAGGAAGTAAAATAGGGCTAAGAGTAGGAAAAGTGCCCTGCAAAAAAATGTGGATAGGGAAATCACTTAAAATAACATAAAAATAAAAAATACAGCTGAGCCATAAAATAACACTAGATGAAATCTTTGATTTTATCTTTGGAAGAACATAAATTAAAATCTAAAGCATGGCTGTCAGGAGGATCACCAGCATTATCCATTTGAGAGAGGGTTGGAGTGCAGGGTATTCTCTTTCATTGTTCAAACTGAGCTCAACTCCTAAAGTATGGAGAAAAGGCCTTCACAAGCCTCTGCTATTGTGTACATAGTTTGTACTAAGTAACCCATAGGTTGAGGAGGCAGTGACCATGGCGGTGTAGGTGGAAGCAGCGGTGGAGGAGAAGTAGGTAGCCAACACTGTTTTTTTTTTTTTTATTGGGGTAGCCCCCAAAATATTGGGACATATAACAAAAAGAAACACTTCCGGCCTGCGGTGCATTTCTTGCAGTCCTGATCCATGGAGAAATGCTCAACTTCTGATGCATGGAGAAAAGGCCTTCACAAGCCTCTGCTATTGTGTACATAGTGTATACTAAGTGACCCATAGGTTGAGGAGGCAGTGACCCTAGCGGTGTAGGTGGAAGCAGTGGTGGAGGAGGAGGAGGTAGCCAACACAGTTTTTTGTTGTTTTTTTTTTAATTGGGGCAGCCCCCAAAATATTGGGACATATAAAAAAAGAAAACTCTGTTCCGCAGAGCAACTGACCCGTGCGTGCTGCAGCTGAAACTCCACTATCACCTATTGCTGCTCGCACAGTCTCATGAGCCAGTGAGCGGGAAGGCCGAAGTTATGCTGCAGCGAAGACAGGCGAGCAGCAGCAGGGTGAGACCGCCAAAGCCCGCACTTTCTGCAGCAGCTCTGATATATCTGGGTAGTTTTTCAGGAATTTCTGCACAACCAAATTCAGCACATGCGCCAGGCAAGGGCTGTGCGTCAAACCGCCAAGGCCCAGAGCTGCTACGAGATTTCGCCCATTATCACACACCACCAGGCCAGGTTTGAGGCTCAGTGACAACAACCACTGATCAGTCTGTTGTTCCATGCCCGTCCACAGCTCCTGCACAGTGTGGGGTTTTTCCCCCAAACATATCAGTTTGAAAACAGCCTGCTGTCGTTTCCCCCTGGCTGTGCTGAAGTTGGTGGTGAAGGTGTTATGCTGACCGGATGAGGGGGTAGTAGAGGAGGAGGAGGAACAAGCTGAATAGGAGGAGGAGGCAACAGGAGGCAAAGCTGTGTACCCAAATAAAGATTGACAAACATATCCTGCAACTGTGTCCCATCCGGTTACTGGGGAAAGGGGTCTGACCGATTCTAATCAAAGGGGATAACCATCGGTTACCCAGGTCCCTCTTCAGTTGGTGACAAGCGGCTGGATCCCATGTCCCTGCCAACAGACCCATGGACTACAGTGCTCTAAAGCGACCTACACTGCAGGACTTGTGTGGAGCCAGAGGAATAACGCCTGGTGGGCGTAAGAAGGCTGAATTGACTGCTGCGCTCATGGAGGACGACCAGGCATGCAGTGAGGCAATGAACCCCAGCCAGGGGCCAGAGATGAGGAGGAAGTGCGCAACCAGGTGTAACGGCACCTGGCATATTACCGAGAGCCACCATCAGAGGAGATTGTCAGCAGGACCTTTTTGGAGGTGCAAGCCTATGTCCTTGCCAATAGACAGAGGGCGACCTCCATGAACCCAGATGAAGGAAGAAGGGAGCAGAGGGCACCGGGAAGCACAACCACCCTGGCCCTCATGCTACAATACAATGCTTTCAAAGACATCAAGGAAGCAAAAGGCATCGATGACATTTTACAAGACTTTGAGCGCCAGTGCCTACTCCAAGACGTGGACCCCAGCGACTGGGTCACCATCCTGGCCAGCAAACTAGTGGGGAGGGCAGCGGATATTTACCAGGCTGTACCAGAAGAGCAGATCAGAGACTATCCCTCTATTACCCAAATCCTCCTGGCCCGGTATGTGGTCACCCCCGAACAATACCGCCAAAAGTTTAGGGAGACCCGGAAAGGGGAGAAGGACTCCCATGTGGAGTGGGCATGCCGCATCACAAGGGCCACCCAGAACTGGCTCAACTACCATCAAGCCAAGTTCCTGGAGGAGATCACCCAACTCGTCATGCTAGAGCACTTTTTCAATGGGCTCCCCAACGACAAGGCGATGAAGCATTCGTTTGTCATCCATATCAACTTTCGATGCCACTTTCTGCACCTACCATGGTGACCATGAGTAACGGGGAATCAGGGTTCGATTCCGGAGAGGGTGCCTGAGAAACGGCTACCACATGCAAGGAAGGCAGCAGGCGCGCAAATGACCCACTCCCGACGCGGGAAGGTAGTTACGACAAATAATAATACAAGACTCTTTAGAGGCCATGTAATTGTAATGAATCGACTTGAAATCCTTTAACTCTGATCAATTGGAGGGCAAGTCTGGAGCAGAGCAACTGACCCGTGCGTGCTACAGCTGAAACTCCACTATCGCCTGATGCTGCTCTCACAGTCTCATGAGGCGTAAGGCCGAAGTTACGCTGCAGTGCAGACAGGCGAGCAGCAGCAGGGTGAGAACGCTGAAAGTGCCCACAGCTGCTACAGTGAATGTCACATCCTGTTCCAAGTTGCGGATCAGTCTGGTGATGGCTTCTGGTATCCAGTACTCTTTTTACTGAAGCTGCATCAGGGTCCTGGTATGTGGCCGCACAAACGCTGGTGCTCAACACCAGGGGGCGTGCGGTTACCCTGCACCAGACCCTGCTAATCCATTCCACACTGTGACTCCTAACTTCAACATCAGGAATACTGGGTCCCGGTCGTCCGACCGGCGCCCAGACAATATCGGGGTCCCGGTCACCAGACTGCGAAACTGCGAATGGCTCATTAAATCTGTTATGGTTCCTTTTATCGCTCCATCTCTTATTTGGATAACTGTGGGAGTTCTAAAGATAATACATGCCAACAAGCACTAGGGGTCGCTTTTGCACCCTGCTCCCTCTTATGCTGTGCTAGTGCCTCTGTGCGACCACCGCCTCTTCCTCCAAACTGCAAACTGACCTTGATTCCATGTGGGGTCTAGGACCTTATCATCCTCCACATCATCTTCCACCCACTCCTCAACCCTGCCCTCCTTGCCGGTCTGCACACTGTAGAAAGCCACAGCAGTTGGCACCTGTGTTTTTCCAGCATGTAAACTCTGCAAAGGACATATGGGAATTGTTTTAGAATTGTATTCAGGCAACAGTTTTCCCTATAAACTGACCTCTCAGTTTGACCTGTGAGGGTATTGCCCCCGAATTACAATATTGTTATATTGGTATTTGATGGTTCTATTTGACTGTCAAATATGAAGTGCAGGCTACAAATGTACTATTTAGCACCCAAAAAACTTTGAGTTGGTCAAACTGTGCTGTAACCATAGTATTTGACGGTTCTATTTGACTCTCAGATATGAAGTGCAGGCACCAAATTGACTTTTTAGTACCTAAAGAATTAGACTTTTTACAGCTGCACTGTAAGCACAATATTTGACGCTTCTATGTGACTCTCAGATATGAAGAGCACGCCCCAAATTTACTATTTAGCAGATTAGCACCCAGAAAATAAGAATGTTTACAATTGCGCTGTAACCGCACTATTTGACGCTTCTATTTGACTCTCAGATATGAAGAGCACGCCCCAAATTTACTATTTAGCAGATTACCACCCACAAAATAAGAATGTTTAGAACTGCGCTGTAAGCGCAGTATTTGACGCTTCTATTTGACTCTCAGATATGAAAAGCACGCCCCAAATTTACTATTTAGCAGATTAGCATCCAGAAAATAAGAATGTTTACAACTGTGCTGTAACCGCAGTATTTGACACTTCTATTTGACTCTCAGATATGAAGTGCAGGGCCCAAATTTACTATTTAGCAGATTAGCACCCAGAAAATAAGAATGTTTCAAACTGCGCTGTAAGTGCAGTATTTGACACTTCTATTTGACTCTCAGATATGAAGAACAAGCCCCAAATTTACTATTTAGCAGATTAGCACCCAGAAAATAGGAATGTTTCAAACTGCGCTGTAAGCACAGTATTTGACGCTTCTATTTGACTCTCTGATATGAAGAGCACGGCCAAAATTTACTATTTAGCAGTTTAGCACCAAAACAATTAGAATTTTTACAACTTTGCTGTAACCACAGTATTTGACGCTTCTATTTGACTCTCAGATATGAAGTGCACCCCACTAATGTACTAATTTGGATAATTATTTCCTAATCTGTCCCTGAATGTGGCAGCATCCTCTCCCTACACTAATAAGAGCTCATGTGACGTGCGGCACTACGTGACTCCAGCTTATATATAGAGGCTGGGTCACATGCTGCATTGTCCAATCACAGCTATGCCATTAGTAGGCATGGCTGTGATGGCTTCTAAGGGCACACAAGTCAAACGCTTCCAAAAAAACATAATGTTCGGTACAAACCCGAATTTTACAGTCCGGGATCACTCAACTCTAGAAGAAAGCCAAGATGCAAGATGCATAGAGTTATCATAATGATATACCATCAAAATCTTCCTTTACACAAAGCTAAAGCAGTGAATATCTTCATAGCTCAAGCAAGGTCATGATTTATAACTAAATTTGACATTTACTGTAAATTACTGCAAATATCATGGTTTTAGTCTGTTTACACACTTATTGCATAGACACTCATAACTACTCTGTTAGAAAAGCTCCATGTTCAAACTTGGGGCTGCTAATGGATGTTCTTTATAACAAGTCATTTTTAATTTTCCAATTTGTGGTATCACAAAATCAAAAAATTACAAACCACTGGATTGAATTTGTAATACAACCAGACATCTGCTCACATAAACTTGCCACAAATCCCCTAGGGTAATCACGGAATATACTAGAGTAGTCTGGAACAGATGTCTGGGTGCATAAGGCATGAGAAAGTTCTGCATGTATGAAAAAACACACACATACTGGCAATTGAAGCATAATATTTACCGGTACTGTGCATGATCATTCTGTGTTATGGTGCACAGCACGATCCAAACTCTATTTTTAGCATCCATCCAAGGGTGAAGTATATTTTACTATTAAATGAATCTGTAGGGCACTAAAAGATTATATTATGCAGGAAACAATTATGGCACTGAAAGACCTTATTTACTTAGTATTTGTATTATATATGCTGCTTTGCAGTAGTTAATAATGTAATCATGGCATACATATTAATTTGAATTTTAGATCTCAATACAAATTGTGATAATTAAATACATATTTTAATCCCTTAAAACCCAGCTTGTTTAAAAAAGTTTATTTTTTTTTAAATTAATTTATTTATTTATTTATTTTTCTGTGTTCTGGTTTTTTCCCCCTCTTTTGTGCTGCTGCTTGATTGATTGGGGGAGTGTTCATTAATTGCACCTGTGTGGGATTTGTATCCCCATAAAGGCACACCCCTAACTCACTGAACTTGCTCACATTACTTGAAAGCAGACTCTATTAAGTAGACTCTTTCAAGTAGGAGTTAGAAAACCAGGAATTAAAACTAACAAGGGGTTTAAACTAACAAGGTAATTTTTTATTGTTCTGTATCTGGGGAAATGAGTGTTAGCAAGATTGGTGGTTTGACTCAATGCGCATCTTGTTGCATGTATGGATGCCTGGATGTACCCGTTCAGGGTCCATACCTCTGTGACGGTTGTGTGCGAGTGGCTTTTCTGGAAGCTCAGATTGGAGATCTCGAGAAGATAATCGCAACTTTGAGGGAGACTGACAATCTTGAGAGGAGTCTGCTGCTCACTGAGCAGAGTTTAGTGGGGACAGTTAGTGGAGAGGGAGGAGATAAGACAGATGGGGAACAGGCATGTAGCTGGGTGACAGTGGGGCGAGGAAGCAGGGGGGGAGGGAAGAGGAAAGGGCTAGCTAGTCCTGATTTGGTGCAACCTAGCAGATTTGCCCATTGAGTGAAGATGTTGGGAGCATCAGCTCAGGAGTAGCTTTTACCTGTGCTACGCGCTACAGTGGAAAGGCAGCGGGAGATTAGAGAGGTCAATGCATGACTTAGGTATTGGTGCAGGAAGGAGGGTTTTGGGTTTTTAGAGCACTGGGCCAACTTTGCGATTGGGTGCAACCTTTATAGTAGTGATGGATTGCACCTAAATGGGTCTGCAGTGCTGGGGGATAGGATGGCTAGAAGGTTGGAGGAGATTTTAAACTAGTAGTAGGGGGGAGGGTCATAGCAATCTACAAAATGGAGATAGGACACTAAGGAGATGGGCTTTAGCACAGTATAAGGGGGTGGAGACTTGGGGAGGGGCAAGCTCAGAACAGAGAAGCTATGTAACGTTGATAATTCACAAAAAATTCAAGTGACTCATGATATTAAATGTATACTTACTAATGCAAGGAGCCTATTTAACAAAATGGGGGAACCATAGGCAGTAGCATACACTAAACAATATGATATAATAGGCATAACTGAAACATGGTGGGATGAGACACATGACTGGGCAGTTAACTTAAATGGGTACATGTTATTTAGGAAGGATAGGAAAAACAAGAAGGGTGGTAGGGTATGTGTGTATGTCAACCATGATTTAAAGCCAAATCTTAAGCAAGTGGAATGCGATGAGCAAAATGTGGAAGCTTTATGGGTAAATATCTGCTTGGGGGAAAAGAAGGGAAACCAACTATTGGTTGGGATATGTTATAAACCACCTAATGTTAATATTGACGAGGAACAACAGCTGTTTGAGCAAATTGAGAAAGCTGCAAATCTGGGTAACACTTTAATTATTGGAGATTTTAATTACCCGGACATAAATTGGGACAGAGGGACTAGTAGCTCAGCAAAGGAAATTAGGTTTTTAAACTTGTTAAATGACACCTTCATGTCACAACTTACAAGCACCAACTAGAATGGACGCTTGTCTGGACCTGGTTTTAACAAACAATGTTGATCTTTTGACCAACATTCAAGTAGGTGAGCACTTGGGAAATAGTAATCACAATATAGTGTCCTTTGAAATAAACTCAAAAAAACAAAAGCACATGGGGTATACTAAAACATATCATTTTAAAAAGGCCAATTTCAATAAGTTATGGGAAGCTTTACAATATGTTGACTGGCATAAACTCTTTAGTGAAAAGAACACTGAGGATAAATGGATCATCTTCCAACAAATATTAGAAAGGTACATTTCTCAGTATGTACCATTGGGAAATAAATAAAAAAGAAACAAATTAAAACCAATGTGGCTTAGTAGAGAAGTAAAACAAGAGATTAAAAATAAGAAAAGGGC